AAGGTGTTGTATCACTTGCATGCAGTATGTATCTTTGCCTAGAATGTTCTAAAATTCCTCACTTGGGAATAATACTTTCCTCAATTCTTGGCTTGATTGAAAAACCCAGCAATATTTGACACATTTTATGTAACTCTTGTTTGAGGCAGTCTTCATTTATCTTTTGCATTTGTTGGCTATTTTACCAAAATACTCAACTGCAGTTTTCATCGTGGTTATTAAGAGAGTGAATATTAACCTTATTAATGTCACCTATTTCATTTGCTACTACCGCATTCAAAGACAAGCATGACCATATTCTAGTTCTGGTACATAAATGGAGTAATATCAATAATTTAGTAAATGAAAGTCGAGAGGCTTGAAAATAGAATTGCCTCTTAACAATTATAATTTATAATTTTAAAGAAAAGAAGCAAGATGTTTCTTTATGAGACTTTTTTTTTTTACAATTATAGGGTTGACTAGAGTATTGTTAGTATGTGTTGGTGAGAGCGTTTGCCTTTCTTAGAACTGTGCGAAAAATGAAAAATTTGAACCCTGCTAGAATTCCCAGGATTATCTTACTTAGCCCACAGATTCTCCCCTCCCCCTACCTTGGCTTTCGTCTCTTGCTCTCATTTGCAAGGTAATCATCCCTTAAATAAAGAAACAAGAATTCTCCAAAGACTAAGCAGAAACAAGGGCTAAGGGGTCATAGCCCTGGTTGATATAGGGCCTTTTGTGACTATGCTGTTCCCCAGCAGAATTGTTCCCCAAGGTCTTTTTTGTTTGCTCTTTGGAAATACATTTTTTTAATATTTAAAAAAGTAGCCTTTCTTTGTCTAGACAAAGAAGGTTTCTTAAACCTTCTAGCATAGCAAAGTAAAAAAATATGTACTATCTTTTGGCCCTATCTCTAGCCCTTCTTTGCTCTCTAACAATGTTTCTCAGCGTCAATGGTATTGATTGACATTTTAGACCAGATAATTCTTTGTTGGGGTCGGGAGTAGGGCCGGTCTGTGTATTGTAGAATGTTTGGCAGCATCTGTGGCTTTCATCCACTAGATGCCAGTAGTAGCCTCTAAGTTATGATAATTAGAAATGTCTTTGGATACTGTCAGATGTCTCCTGTGGGACCAATGAGAACCGGTGATACATTTTGTGCATTTTATAGTACTCTGTATAGTTGGGCATGGTGCCATACGCCAGTAATCCCAGTGCTCAGGAGGCTGAGACAGGAGGAAGCATGCCGCAAGTAGACCAGCCTAGACTACATAGCAAGACCGTATTTCAGGACCCCTGTAAAAAAAAGGTACTGTGTACAGCTAGGCATGGTGGCACAGGCCTGTAATCCCAGCACTTGAGAGGTGAGGCAGGAAGATTGTCATGAGTTTGCGGCCAGCCTGAACTATAGAGAGAGACCCTGTCCCCAAAAAAAAAAAAAAAAAAAAAAAAAATCACCTGTACCCAAAAAAAAAAAAAAAAAAAACAAAAAACACCCAAAAAACTACACACAAGGAAGAAAGGGGAGGAGGGGGAGAGAAAGAAAAAGCAAGAACTGTGTACAAATAAGAGGCTGGGTGGGTTAAGCCTGGCAGCAGAACTCATACCAAATTTACATTTTTCCTGTTGATACTCCAGGGAAGACAGTGAAGCTTCCAGTGGTGGAGGATGGTGTCAGGCCTCATGACTTGCTCTAGGATGATCCTTTACAGAGCAGAGCTGTTATGTCCAAATAGGGAAAGTGAGTGGGTATATTTCAGCAGGTGATGTGACCAGGCCTGACTAACTGATGTTTCCTGAGATTCTGAAGCAGCTGCAGTGGGCAGAGCTCCCTTGGGGTAACGTGTAATGTTCCTCAGAATGCCCTTAGCCTTCTTACTATGTTGAGTATTTAGCACGCCCACCTGTGGTCTACTTTTTTTTTTTTTTTTTTTTTTTTTAATAGGACAAGGGATATACAGTGCCCCTGGGTTTGATCCCCAGTACTGCAAAGCAAAAAGAATGGATTTTACATCAAATTTTCTAAGAAAAAAATCCAGGAGGAATCATCTAAATGTTAATAATGCAGCCTGTGGCTTTGGGGAGACGTCTGAGCTCAAATCCTTACAACTTCCTGGTTATGTGACCTTGGGTAAGAGCTTTCTCTTTCCAACCTCAGTTTCCTTATCTGTAATGGGGATTCTAAAAGCAACTATCTTCTAGGGTTGTTTTGCAGATTAAGTGGTTTTGGCAGAATTCAACTCACTCTGCATCTGAGCTTGGCATCTAACACATACAAATGTGTCTAATTGGCTTATTTTATTAACATCATCAGGGTATATTACTTAAGCCATTGCTTGAAAAATTGGAAAGGCTGAGGTTACTTAACATTTTTTTCTTTGTGGTGCTGAGCATAGAACCCAGGCCCTCTGCATGCTAGGTGAGAGCTCTGTACTGAATTACTGTGGTTACATTCTTACTCTCAGGGGTGCAGCTGGACACAGTAACACACTGACGCCAGACTCAGACTCCTAGACCCACAGCTGGCACACAGACACTCACAGACATCACGTTGTTGCTTTAAAAAAATTAATTTGTTAACTATGTGTTGGCACCCCACATTTTTCTAGAAAGGGTTCACTTTCATTTTGTTTTGGGAAGGATTTTTGGATGTGTGGGGCTATGGAGAAAAGGCTTTTATGTTGGGGTGGGGTTTTCTGAGCAAATACGAATATAGTTTAGATCTGGGCTACAAGAAAAAACAAGGGCGGGGGATGTAGCTCTGTGGTAGAACACTTGTCCTAACATCCCAACGGCCTGAATTAGATCCGCACCACCCGAGGGGTGGAGGGGTGGAGGGGGTAAAGCCGCGATGATGCTGAACCCAAACTCTGGGTTGATAAGTCAGCAAAGACTCCAGAGTGCTCCTGCTTCCTAGAAGGGGGCAGGTCTACACCCCAAGAAGGAGGAGGCCAGGTCTGGAGATACCCACTTGCCCTGGCTTGTGGAGCTGGGGGTCTAAAACTGGAGTCTTATCTTCCCTGAGACACACATCACACATTTTCAGTCCAAGGCTAGAACTCAGGGTCCTTGCCCTCACCCCCATGATACTAGGGAGAAAGTTTCTCTCCCTCATCTGGCAGAAGATGTGTCTCCAGTGGAACTTTCAGGTTTGTCTCTGCGGATCCTTGCTCAGGGTATAAACTCCAGTACACCTTGGACGACACTGGCTCTGCATATGGTCATCCCCAGGACAGAAAGTGGGCAAACTGGCATGGTGACTACTGTGTCAGTGATCCTGGGACCGGCCGTGTCCACAATCCCTGTGGTCACACTTGGGATGGTATCAGTAACTACAGATACTGAAAACCTAAAACAGTGACATTTTCTTCTCCATGCTTGTCTATGAACAGGTTTTTAGTTTTATATTCAGAAAAAAAGAGCCAAGTGTGGTGGTGCACACCTGTAATCCTAGCACTGGAGAGGCTGAGGCAGGATGATCACAGTAAGTTCAAGGCCAGCCTGAACATAGTTTCCTATTCAAACTACTCTAGGTTTTTTTTTTTTTTTTTTTTTTGAGAACCATTATCCTATTTTTTCAGATTCAGTAGAAATTTATTGCCTGTTATGTGCAGGGCTTTCACATACGTACTTTTCTTATTCTTTTTAAAATCCGTTATGTGGCATTGTTTTATCTATAGTAATGATATTAGCAGGGTCACCAGCAGCAATAGTAATAGAAGAAACTAAAATTTATTGAGTTCTTACTGTGTGCCTGCTACTGTACTAAGTACTTCATATGTATTAGATCAGGTCCTAGCAATTATTATATATAGTGGGTACTATTATTACACTTCCTTTAATAGATGAAGAAACTGAGGCACAATAAGGTTAAATAGCTTGACCAGGTCACATAGCAAGTAAGTTGTATGCCTTGAATTTGAACTGAGGAATCAGTATTCCTTTGTCTTTATTTTGGCATTTAATCTGGTGAAATTAATTTTGGTCAATACTGTGAATTACAGTTCAACTTTAATTTTTCTCCAATCATTTTTTTATGGTGCCATTAAGTAATTTGATCTCTGTTGTGAGAAATTATTGTATCATTTCCTCTGAATTAGGTAAGAAGAGATGTGTGGCAGGTTCTATAAAGAGGTATTTTAATACATATTGATGTTTAAAAACCACTCGATCTGATCTTTAGTTGACTGTGTGGTGATCATAATTTCTGAGTATACTAGATTATAAACATTTGCCTCCTGAGTCTCTTCCATTCTCAAAAAAATTACTTGCCAGGACTAGGGATTTAGCTCAGTGGTTCCACCACCTGCCTCGCAAGCTCACAGTTCCAAGTTTGATCCCTGGTACCAAACAAAAAAAGTACTTGCCTTACAAAGTAGCTTTTATCATTTTGTCTCAGTGATTGTAGATCTACCTTGTGAATGGTATGTGAACTTTTATTTTTAACTAGTCTGTGTCTTGCTACCAAATATGCTTTTTGGCTGTTTCATGTGTCAACTGATAATTGCTCTGAGGTTATACTCTCCAGTTTGCTTTAGCAATGCAAGTTGAGTACAATAGTATAGTTGCTGTCCATATAATCATATTATGGGTTCCCAATAACTTTAGCATTTATGCTTTCCCCTAGAGCATAGAAAATGTATTCTAGTCCTTCTCTGATAGATCGGTGATATAGAGGTAATGCTAATATTTACTGAATTTTTTTAAGGAAAGAGATGAATTTCTTTCTTTTCTTTTCTTTTTTGTTTTTTTGAGACAGGATTTCACTAGGTAGTTGAGACCTGGAACTCACTATGCAGCCCAAGCTGGTCTCGAACTCACAGTGATCCTCCTGCCTTAGCCTCCTGAGTGCTGGGATTACAGGGAGAAATGAATTTCTTATTATTAATAATGTTTACTGAACCTTAATAGTTGAATAGTCTATAAGCTTGGAAGTAAACCTGTAGCATATCATTACTCTAGAAATTTGTGTCAAGGCTGGTTGAATTTAAATCTTGTAAAAATTTTTTTTCTTGCAGAGAGGGAAATACGATGTTCCTAAGTGGCTGTCTCCCAATAGCATTCTGCTTCTTCAGCAAATGTTGCAGGTAAATTTTGTTATTTATTTTTAATAGCAAAAGACTTTGTAGTTGTTTGTATGAACTTTTTTGCTGCTTTTGGTACTGAGAATTGAATCCACAGCCTTTACACTGAGCTACATCTCTAGCCTTTTATTTTTTAAAATTTGAGGCAAGGTCTCACTAAGTCACTAAGTTGCCCAGGCAGGCTTGAACTTTTGATTTTCCTGCCTCAGCCTTCCAGAGTGCTGGGATTATAGATGTTCAACACTGCACTTTAGCTTTGATTCTTTCTTAATTATATTATAAAGCCAGTTTATTTAGACCATACTGTATGTCTCTGCTGATGTGTTTTTTTTAATGCTTTTTCTTGAGCATTGTCTATATTCTTTAGCTCGTGCACAACTCACAACTCTCTTCCTTTTTTTTCTTTTCTTTCTTTTTTTTGAGACATGGTCTTGCCCTATAGTTCAGGCTGCCCTTGAACTCACTGTGTAGCCCAGCCTGGCCTTCAACTAGCAGCGATCCTCCTGCCTTAGCCTCCCAAGTGCTAGTATTATGGACATGCACCACTATATCCAGCTCTTCCGTTTTCTTTTCTTTCTTTCTTTTTTGGTGGTACCAGCGATCAAACTTGGGTCCTTGCACTTGAGAGGCAGGCGGTGGTACCACTGAGCTAAATCCCCAGCCCTTCCATTTTCTTATTTCTATCTTGTACATTAGATATGCAGAAGATACTCAAAGAATGCTTGAATGAGCTGATGTGCAATTAAGTGGGTCCTGTATTCCAATGCAGTGGTTCTCAAACTTTCACATTTGAGAAAATTGACAGACCAGCTTGTTAACACAGTTTGCTGGGACCTATGTACAGAATGTCTGAATCAGTAGATCTGGGGCAGACCTAAGAATCTGCATTTTCAGTAAGTCCCCAGATGTTGCTGTTCTGGGGACACGAGTGGAGAACCACAGAGGTAGTGAAATCTAGGTTAGCGTCCATCCTGCTAACCACATAAATTGGTCTTGATCTATAAAATGGGGATTCAGCACCTGCCTTACTGCTGTGTACTGTTATGAGGATAAAATGAGATTTATAGGAAACACTTTGAAAATATATGTTATTAGTACAATATTTTATTTATTATGTGTTCAGAATATCTTTTGGTTTTTCCATCTACTAAGCCATCTCTACCTTTAGTCCAAATTTACCTCAGGCTCACCCACCTTGCTTAAGTAGGGCCAGACCACCAAATCTCCATAATGAGATTGAAAATGCCTTATCCTTTCTTCTAGACTCTAAAAAGCGTAATCTTTGTTGATTAATTTTTCTCTCCTCACATTTGAAAATTACAACTGGAAAAGAAAGGTATGCTTTTTAACTTGTTCTATGCGATTGTAAGCTCATCAGAGGTAGAGATTGCATATTCAATATGAATGCCCTGCTTTGTGATTGCTTGAATATTAAATTGGTGAATATTTCCCATGAATAGATTTTCCAGCAAAAGACTATTACATCATACAATAGATTGACTGAACTTCATGAATAATGTCCATACCAATGAAGTTCATGTTTGTTAAACATTTATCTCCTAAGTCTGTGTTGGTTGCTGTATAGATTTTTTTTTTTCCTCTATTGCCTTAAAAGAATTTATTCCAAGGCCATTTTAAGGTCTTTGACAGCATTTTTTGTGATGATGAAGTTTACATCTGTTTTGGTGCAGTTCTCAGGAGGAGTGGTATTCTATGTTCTCTATTTGAAATGTTAATCTCTAGCTACTTCTTACTGGCCACTAGGTGGACCCAAAGAAACGGATTTCTATGAAAAATCTATTGAACCATCCCTGGATCATGCAAGATTACAACTGTCCTGTTGAGTGGCAAAGCAAGAATCCGGTAAGTAAAATTAAATCCAGTGTAAGTTTTGTTTTTACTTTGTGTGATTGTTGTGTGAATGTAGGACCTACAATGATGTAACCTAAATATAAAAGAAAATGTATTTTGAGTATTTATCAGATTGGTGTTTGAGAGATTTAAAACCTAATCATATATTTGCCTGTTAATCTGTAGGACTGCGAGTGGTTCCTTAACCAGGGCTGTATGTGCACATCACTTGGGACTTAATAAAAGCAGTACCTTCTCCCCACCCCAGAATGCGTAATGAGTATTTTTTAAAGCTCTCAAGTGTCTCTCATGTGTTGTCAGGATTGTGAACAGCACAGTGGGAATTTTGGGCAAGTTACTTAACTTTGCTAAACCTATTTATTCATCTGTAAAAAGTAGGTTAAACCAGTTTTACTTATTAGAATAGTTTCAAGGTTGTGTTAGTTCTCAGACATTTGAATCTGAGGACATTTTCACATTCTTAATATTTATTTATTAATTCATTTTAAAGTAATGGTAAAAAAAACCCTATTACATGTCATAAATAAATATTTTTATGAAGAAAATTCATTTAAAAATAAATTTAGCAGGGCTGGAGATTAAGGTCAGTGGCACCACGCCTGCCCTGCAAGTGCAAGATCCTGAGTTTGATCCCCCTGGCATGGGAGGTAGGGGGTGTTAGCAAAAAGGTGACATATTTGTAAATTTTTTTAAAGTCTAGCTAACTAGAAAACATCAGTATAGTTGCGTGCTTCTGTGTTTATCTATTTTGATTTTTTTTATTGAAATATATAAAGAAAATGCAGCTTCACACAGATATTTAGTAGAAAAAGGCAGACATATTTTAATAGCCTTTTCAGATATTCTCAGATAATCCACTAAAACTTGACAAGTGGTAGTTTCTTAAAGGTTAGTTGCATGTGGAATTTGAAACCACATCAATGACTCTGTACTCTAGTCCATAAAACCCCCTGCTCTGTCCGTTAGCTATTTTCCCCAGGTAACATTATGTGTCATCACTTGGGAAATACTTATTCACTGAGTTGTGCCAGTCTTCTAAATGTTAACACATTTCATTATATAATATTAAAAAATTACATTCCTTAAAATCACTACTAATCTCATCAGAAAATCTTTAAATATTGGAAAGCTGTTAAGTTCATGGTGGTATGTACAAAATTTCCAAAATTCTAGGTTTTGCTTAAAATTTACATCACAGGCAACAAAGGCTGTCAATTTCCTTGAAGCGACAAGTTGACGTTAACAAAATATGTACTAAATATCCAAGTATAAATCATCATAGTTTGTCAGTGTTCTTTCAAAGAAAAATGGTGTTCTAGCATAAGAGCTAATTGAGCTTGTAACTCAGTCGTACGAGGCTTGTCCTCCAGAGAGCTGCTGTATTTTGTGTGAAGAAGCTCCTTATGATACTTCCTGTTTTATAATACAGAATCCTAAAAACGCATGCACTCAAGGTTGAAATTTAATAAAGTTAATACTTTTTTACTACTTCATCAAGGACATAATTCAAACTGGCTTTTTTGTTTTGAGCTGTGATTACACGATAAAGAGTACAGTTTGTTGTCACTATATTGATTTGTACTAAGGCACCAACACTTTATTTGTCATTGCTTTTACACCATCAGGGCAAATACAGCTCTGTGTAAAATGAAAAATAGTGTTATTATAAAAATAGTTTTGACCTTGAATACCCTTAGATGTGTGCAGATCACACTTTGAAAACTGGTCTAATACATAAGTGTGAGAATTTAAAAAGTACAAAGAGCTATTCAAGTTTAAGCAATTATCTTAATACTCTTACATTATTAGTGTTTCAGAAAGATACTGTTAAGTATCTTGAATTTGATAGAAATGTGGTATGGACATTTCTAAGGATGTGTATACTTTATTTGTATTAGTTAACTATTCCCAAATGTAAAAAACCCCAAACATTATGGTTTAAAACAATATTGCATTACAATTCTGTGGATGAGCAGTTTAGGCAGGATTTAGCTGGGCAGTTAGTTTTCACGTTGTCTTGCCTGGGATTATCATTTGGCTTCCATCATGTGGTGATTTGGGACTGAGTGATGTAAGCCTCACTCAGAAGACTGTTGGGCCGCATGTGTCTAGCAGGCTAGTCTGGGCTACTTACTAGATTCTAAAGGAGGAAGAAGGTCAGACCTAATACCCAAGCATTTCCCAAGCCTCTGTTTGCGTTGTACTCAGTAATAATGTTTCATTGGCTAAAGCCAACCACACAGCTGAGCCCAGAGCCACTATAGAAGGTCTAGTCTTTGAAGTCACTGTAGTTCTTATCCCCTATTTGTAAATAAGGAAACTAAGGAATAAAAGAGAATTATTGAAGAAATGAATTTAGCTGGACATAGTGGCATAAGCCTGTGATCCCAGCACTCAGGAGGCTGAGGCAGGAGGATCACCGCAAGTTCAAGGCCAGCTTGAGCTACATAGTGAGATCCTGTCTCAAAAAGAAAAGAAAGAAGAAAAAAAATTAGTGAGAAATGTAGCATTGCTGTACATCTTTGTAAATTTCTGGATTAATAGAAGACACGGGTATTTATCTGCTTCAGCATTCATCTTGTTTTGATGAAAGCAGATAAAACACAGCCTCACACAGTTGTATAGTTAGAAAAGTGAGATGTATTTTAATAGCCTTATTAGATAATTGGGGATATTTTCTGGTGTGCTACCAAAACTTCTGCAGTACAGTGGGACATGAGCAGGGAGAAACAGAATAGTGTGGAGGTTTGTGCCAGACTTGTCATAGTATAGACTTGGTAAAGTAATCACACCAGGAAATATTAATACTCTTCCTGGTGGCCAGTGGTCCTGGAAAAATAGAACTTACTTGCTTCAAACCCTTTCTCACTATTATGCAAACTGAGCTGAAATTCTTCCTGATTCTTTTTAACTGTCAACTCCTAAAATATCTCTTATCTATATTTCCCTGGCTCTCAAGGATGCCTTTAATATCTGTTGAGGTAATACAACTTAATTCTAGCAGTCAGCACTGAGAGCCTAAGGATGGTGAAGTGTCCAAGCAGTGCCATAGAAGAGCCTGCGAAGCTGGGGTGTGCCCTTGTGAGCGGGAGAGTGGGTGGTGCAGATGCCTGTGTTCAGCCATTGGGGGTCATTGTTTCTCCACATGTGATGTGTGGAGACCATTGCCTGTTTTTGCTGTCAGCCATGATCCTGACAGGAAAATGCTGCTGTTTGCACAAGAAGAGACACCACAACAGAGAAAGTCTCTGATTTTGACAACCTGGAAGGTTTAGTTTTCTTTTTGAATTTGAGGTCTCATGCATGGTAAAATGTATAAAGTTTTGGGTGTACTAAGAATGTACAGTTTTCCTTACATCTTAATATAAAATTGTAATATTCAGTACTTAGAATAGTATGCCATTATAATAAGGGTTTTGTTCATATAATGTCTCAGTGTCATATAGATAGAACTCGTAGGGTAATACCTTTAAGAGTTAGACAATGTTTATAGACTTTGTTTTATTAAACTCATTTAATCCTCATACTACCGCTTTGAAGTAGATACTCTTGTTGTGCCAATGTTGCAGATAAAGCAACTGAGACACAAAATTATTAAGTACAGGGGTACCTTGATTCACAGATGTTTTTGTTTACAAACAGTTTGGTTCACAAACAGGTGTTTGGTAGAATTTTGTTTTTGTTTGCAAACTGCATCGAGTGACAAACACGACCACGGCCATCTTTTCCGCACAAACACAGTCATGGTCATCTTTTCCAAAATTGTAGAACAAATTAAGTTCATGAACTGAGGTACCACTGTAATTTGTCCATAGACCAAAAAAAAAAAAAAAAATCAGTAAGTGCAGAACAAGGTTTTGAATCTAGATTGAAGTGCTCTAGCATGGAGTGGATCTGATAGGTCACCTAGTTTAAGGTCAGGACCTGTATCTTTGCATCTGCAGCCTTTGTGGCAGACTTTGCTTGCCTGATTTCTACTGGGGCAGAGTGATAGTGGTGTGGTTGAAAAAAAACCCAGGCTAGAAATTTAAAAAGTGCCTGTTTTCGGCAGAGCACAACTTTTCTGAGCCTCATTTTACCATCTCTAATAGGGGTACTCTAATGTCAGTCTCCTATGCTTGTTTGGGTTATGTTTTGTCATTTATAGAGTACCTTTACATGTTGTGTCTTTCATCTGTTATGCTCTCTTACAGAGCTGTCACAGGATCAAATGAGTTACAGAAAAACTATAACGGTTTGTTGATTTTTGAAATATTTCCTTTTCTCCTTCAGTATTGTGTTTTGTTAGGAATGAACTATTAAAAAGACCTCAGATTTACTTGGGTTAGTTAAGGTGTAAGTGCTATTTCTATTTCTCAGTGCCTCAGTTATATTTCTATAACTATGCATGATCTGCCATTTTCATGCACAGCTTTAGTACACAAATATATCAAATAGAAGTTGTAACATTTGGTTCCATTTTCTGCCTTAGTAAATAGGAAATGTAGTAGGCACAGATAGTTCAAAATAATTGGCTAGATTTTATATTTATTTTTTGTTCTTAATTTAACTTGACTTTGTGTGGCTGAGAAATCAGAGCACATAAAGTATTGACCCCCTTTAGAAAACCCAGTTTGTGATAAACCATGCTTTTCAAATCCTGATATGTTTTCTGCTTTTTATTCTTCCTAAATTGGGAGCCCAGTAATGATATCATCTTCTTTCTACCCCTCTCTCCTGCGTGTACTCTGTGGTAAAGTACAGAGCAGGAAACTATGAGAGTGTGGGTGTTGGGTTTTTTTTTTTTTTTTTGTACCAGGGATTGAACTTGGGTCTTTGCACTTGCAAGGCAGGCCACTGAACCACTGAGCTAAATCTCCGGCCCTAGTGTGGATTTTTTGAAAGGGAGAAACTTAAGATCATAGAGGGTAATAATGTTTCCTTTCTTGAGCAATGGTGACATCAACAAGAAGATACCATCTTGATGTTAAAGTGTTTGGACTTTTTTTTAG